CCCAGCTACTTGGGAGGCTGAGGCAGGAGACTCGCTTGAGCCCAGGAGTTGGAGGTTGCTGTGAGCTGTGATGCCACAGCACTCTACCCAGGGGAATAGCTTGAGGTTCTGTCTCAAAAAAAAAAAAAAGAAAAAAAGAAAAGTACCTGTCATATTAGCCCAGATTTCCTTAACTATACAAATTAGTTCCTGCCACGTTCCCTGTGATGTAGGTATGAGGTAAGGAAATGGTGGGGGGCGTGCAGCAAGAAAAGACAACGCGTTTCTCAGGAGCTCGCCTTTCCTGTTCACAAGCAACAGCATGTGCCCCCAGCGCCCATCTGCTCCGTTATGAGGAGAGCTTGTCCAACTGACCCTTCCCTCCTACACCGGGACTAGGCAGATCTAAAGAAACAAACATCCCGAAGATGGCTGAGGACCTTTCCGTGGCTGGGAGAGGACTCTGACACAGAGGGAGCGCTTCAGTAAGTTCTAGGGTCCCAGATGCAGCCCAGATGCCACAGATGCTCAATGAATATTTGATGAGCTAAATGGAGGAAGTGGTGAAGTCTGCAGCTGTCCTCCACAACGGGGGCGTAAACCAGACCCCCAGATGTGGGTACGCAGAATAATGAGCACGGAGCGTCCTGCTGATGACCTGTCAAGGCCCGGACAGACCTTGAGTGTCAGTGGCAATCACATACGCCCACTGGACAACTGGATTGTCCTTTGGGACAGCTTTATCTGGACTTCTAGTTCTTGTTGATGTTCTCACCTATGGGGCTTAGCTGCTTGGGTGGCAGACGCTCTAGGTTTTCTCTCTAGCCTACAGGCAGGGGCAGGAAGAAAGGGGTTGTTAAGCCTTTATTCTCTGGTATGAGAAAGGAGAACCCTGTTGTGAACTAGAGCTGCTTTGGGCAGCAGTTTTTCACTGTTCCTCAGAGGCGATGCAGTTTGCTCCCTTACTCCCTCTGTGAGTCGGGGAGCCAGGCAGGATGTGAAGGGGGTAGGCTGGGTGTGATAGATGTCTTTCTTCTTCTTCTTCTTCTTTTTTGAGACAGAGTCTCACTATGTCACCCTGGGCAGAGGGCCCTGGTGTCAGAGCTCACAGCAACCTTAAACTCTTGGGCATAAGCAATTCTTTTGCCTCAGCTTCCTGAGTAGCTGGGACTACAGGCACCCACCACAACACTGAGCTATTTTTGTTGTTGTTGTTGTTGTCATTGTCAATTGCTGTTTTTAGCAGGCCCAGGCTGGGTTTGAACCCGCCAGCCCCGGTGTATGTGGCCAGCGCCCTAACCACTGAGCTATGGGCTTTGAGCCAGATATCTTTAAACCTCTTAAAGTCAGGTTTATCACTATGGGAAATGAAGAATTTCCTAAATGTTGAAGACATCCATACTCCAATGAAAACACAACACATTTCCAAGGCAAATAGAAACTGTTAGCTAATTATTGGTTGTCATGGATTATTTATGATGATACTCTTTTCCATATGAGGAGAGACACATGGCGGTTATAGGTTTGGGCAAGTACTGTAGTAATTGATTTGGGTCTGTAAGTTCCACCCTTTGGGATAGGTTGTAAATTAGCATAGAAGGCCTCACATAGAGATGCTCCCCACCTGCCAGCAAATATGGGCCTTGTGGAGCTCAGAAAGGAAAACGGCTATTCTTCTTAGGCCAGAAACAGAATTTAAATTGATATCTGCAGTCGCGATTTGCCCTTCTTTTATTTAATTTCTTCAAAAACTAAATATTGTAGAACAACTATACGAGGCTTTATGTGTGATGCAAAGAAATAAAACATATACTCTCTGACCTTGAGGAATTTATAATCGAGTTGGGAATTGCTTTTAAGATTTATTAGAAAACTTACATCACAACTCAAATCATCAATGTAAGACTTGTCATAATGCAGTCTACAATTTGGTGTGAAACAAAGGTAGAAATAACCCCACACATGGGTTAGAAAATTCTGACCTATGGGCCACATCTGTCTATTATTTGTTTCTGAATAAGCCATGAGTTAAAGATACTTTTAACATTTCTGATTAGTTGAAAAAAACAATATTTCATGAAAAAAAATTATATAAAATTCAAATATCAGTGTCCATAAAAAATGTTTATTGGAACACAGCCACACCCAGTTGTTTGCATGTTGTCTATGCCGGCTTACCACTACAACGCCCGTGCTTCAGAGTTACAACGGAGACCACGTGGCCTGCAAAGCCTAAAATATCTCCTCTCTGGCTCTTTAGAGAAAATTTGCAGATCTCAAGGCTATAACGTCGAAGGAGCAGTTGGTGAGGACCAATTATAAAGGATACTTAATGCCAGGCTAAAGAACATGAACTCAGTCCTGTCAGCAATGGACTGAAATCCTTATCATGAACATGAATACAGTTTTAGTATTATCCATGTGCACATGGATACAAAAACTCCAAAAGGTTCAGAAGGGTAGGTCTTACTGTTTTATTTTTGAGATAAGGTCTCAATTCTGTTACCTAGGCTAGAGTGCGGTGATATAATCATAGCTCACTATAACCTGAGACTCCTGGGCTCCTGCCTCACCCTCCCGTGTAGCTGGGACTGTAGGTATGTGCCACCACGTCTGGCTAAGTTCTTTTTTTTTGTAGAGAAGGGTCTTACTTTTGCTCAGGCTAAACTCAAACTCCTGACTTCAAGAAATCCTCCTGCCTCATCTGTGCAAAATGCTAGGATTAGAGGCATAAGCTACCATACCAGGCCCAAAAGGATATTCTGTAAAAAGAAAGTCAGGCTCGGCGCCAGTAGCACAGTGGTTATAGCACCAGCCGCATATGCCAAGGCTGGTCGGTTCAAGCCGGCCTGGGCCAGCTGAGCAGCAGTGACAACTGCAACAGAAAAATAGCTGGGCATTGTGGTGGGTGCCTATAGTCCCAGCTACTTGGGAGGCTGAGGTAAGAGAATTGCTTAAGTCCAAGAGTTTGAGGTTGCTGCGAGCTGTGATGCCACAGCACTCTACCAAGGGTGACATAGTGAGACTCTGTTTCAAAAAAATAAAAAATAAAAAGAAAGTTAGTCTTCTACCTTGATATCTGGGTACTCAGCAATTGTGAAAACTCCACTCAGTTATTCATTTTTAGGTATTCCCACAGAGGTATTTCTATATATACACAAACATATGTGAGTATATATACATTTTAAAAAACCCACAAATGGGCCAGCCTCAACTGTAAATCCTAGCACTCTGGGAGGTCGAGGTGGGTGGATTGTTTGAACTTAGGAATATGAGACCAACCTGAACCAGAGCGAGACCGCGATCTCATCTCTAAAAATAGCCAGGCTTTGTGGTGGCGCCTGTAGTCCCAGCTACTAGGGAGGATGAGGCAAAATGCTGGCTGAGGCCAAAGACTTTGAGGTTACTATGAGCTATGATGTCATCGCAATCCACTGAGGGTGAAAAAGTGAGACTTTATCTCAAAAAATAAATAAATTGGGTGGCACCTGTGGCTCAGTGGGTAGGGCACCGGCTCCATATACCGAGGGTAGCGGGTTTGAATCTGGCCCCGGCCAAACTGCAACCAAAAAATAGCCAGGTGTTCTGGCGGCCATCTGTGGTCCCAGCTACTTGGGAGGCGGAGGCAGGAGACTCGCTTGAGCCCAGGAGTTGGAGGTTGCTGTGAGCTATGATGCCAGGGCACTCTACCCAGGGGGACAGCTTGAGGCTCGGTCTCAAAAAAAAAAAAAATTAAAAAAAAATAAAAACCTCACAAATGATAGTACACTATAAAAATACTGTTCTACACCACGCCTTTCAGTCTTGTATCTTAGAGAGATTGTTCCGTGTGAGGACTTTCTTCTTAACTATTGTATAGTATGGCTGTACCACCTTTTATTTACCCAGTTACTTAGTCACAAAGTATGTATATCCCCAGTTTGAAGAGTTCTGAGCCAGAAGCTCAAATGGTATCTTAGGAAGCTTTGCTGAGCCGGAGGGTTCCAGAATAACCAGAGGCAGGGAGACCACTCAGGTAGCAAACGTACAAATCCAGGAGCCTGGCTGGAAAGGTGGCCTAGAATTCCAGGGCAAGCTGGGGTCCCCCCTCTTGCCACTGCTCCCCTGGGGACACGTACCTTGGCAGGCGTGTCTGGGATGGAAGAGGTGGGAGAACCAGGAAAGGTCAAGACACATTTCTTCCCCAAGCAGCGACCATGTAACTCAATGTCCTCATAAGGGTTTTCCTTCACTGGCGGATCTGTGGTCAAAGAGAACAGGTCAAGAACGTGGGAAAATTCAGGAAGTTTTCCTTTTCAGAACACTGAGGCTTGAGCAGCACCTGTGGCTCAAAGGAGTAGGGCGCTGGCCCCATATGTCGGAGGTGGTGGGTCCAACCCAGCCCCAGCCAAAAACTGCCAAAAAAAAAAAAGAAAGAAAAGAAAGAACACTGAGGCCAATATCTTTGCCTCCCTTGCATTAGTCCTCATGGGGATGTCTGTCCATTCACCTTTCCTCTTGGCAAAAGGCCCTGATTTCAGAGAGTTAACTCCCCACTCTCCATCGTAAGAGATAACCCCATTCACAGTATCAGGGCTTTAGTTGATCTGGGTATCCCAAATCCCTCCCTCAGTGACCAGCACAGGGAAGGGCTCACCTCCTAACCTAAGGCAATCACTGCATGGCATTCCTGGACTCCAGAGGTGAACAAAGAACCTAAGCTGGTCTGAGTAGGGGTAAGCTGGAGATTTTGGCTGAGACGTACAGCACCTCTTCTTCCCCCGCCCCCCTATGTGGCCCCCCATGTGGAAGGTTCAGATTCCAGGGAGCAGATGGCAGCCATCGTGGGAATCATGGGAAGCCTGCTGAGAAAGGCACTAACCTGAGATCAGAAACAGAGGAAGGAAGAGCTAGTTCTGGTCACATGAGCCAACAAACGTCGTTTGTTGTTTCAGGTGGGTTTTGTGTTCCTTGTAACTGAAAATGTCCTATGAAGCAGCTACCACTAAGACAAGTCCAGACCTCATGCCCGTTTTAGGTATGAGAGGCCTGCTGCTGTGACAGGAATCCATTCCAGCAGCCCGGACACTGCAATTCCATTATTCTTTTTTTTTTTTTTGGAGACAGAGTTTCTTTATGTCACCCTTGGTAGAGTGCCATGGCATCACAACTCACAGCAACCTCAAACTCTTGGGCTTAAGTGATTCTCTTGCCTCAGCCTCCCAAGTAGCTGGGACTACAGGTGCCTGTCACAATGCCTGGCTATTTTTTTGTTGCAGTTGTCATTGATGTTTAGCAGGCCTGGGCCGGGTTTAAATCCACCAGCCCGGTATATGTGGCGCCCTAACCACTGAGCTACAGGCACTGAGCCTGCGATTCAATTCTACGGTGCAGGCCAAATGGCTTAGCTAGTATATGCCTTCTCCAGTCTTCTATTTCCTCCCTAAAGGGTTATTTTTCTGGTGTTGATGACTGCATGCATGAAGGCATGTCTGTATACGCCCACATTCCCTCTCATGGACACACACACATGGGTTTCTCCCTCTCCCTCTTTTTTTTGAGACAATCTCACTCTGTTGTCCAGGCTAGAGTGTAGTGGTGTCATAGCTCACAGTAACTCAAACTCTTGGGTTCAAGCGACTCTCCTGCCCTCGGCCTCCCAAATAGCTGGGACTATTACCAGTAGGTAGTAGGCAGGTGCCTACTACCACACCTGGCTAATTTTTTCTTTTTCTTTTTTTTTTTTT